CCCCCACCCCCACCCCCTCCCCCTCCAAGGAGCACCCCTTTATTTCCCTTCATAAAAAAGAGCGTCCCACGTGGGGACAAGGCCCCCCGCAGAAGAAGGGTCACCTTGGCAAGTGCCACCCTCCCAGCTGGGACAAGGGACGGCGCCACCTGCACCCCCTCTTTCTGCCTTATCTCAGCCCCCAAATTGAGGGAGGGGTCTCTACAAATGACACCCCCCGCCCCCCAAACCCCATGGGGACCTGTGGGGCTGTCATTACTGGGAAGCCTGGTGTTCCCAGAGGGACTGGGGCTGGCTCCGAGGGACGGAGACACCAGATGAGCGGGGGCCACCAAGGGGCTGCCCCCCTGGAAAGGGTCCCTCGAGGGGTTCCTGACCCCCCCTCCCACCCCCCCGGCTCGGGGTGCAAGAAGCTCAGGCTGGTCTCAGCGCCCTGCAGGGCTGCTGGCAGAGCACCCACACCTCCTGCCACCACCCCGGGGGGGGACCAGGGGGGACACCAGGGACCGTGACCGGGCTGGGTGGAGGATGTGTGAAGATGGGGGTTTGCTCAGGGTGGCAGAACCCCCACCCCAGGGCACACGGGGACACCTCCACCACCCCACCGGGATGCAACAGGGGGGGACACGTGGCCAAGGAAGACCCTCATGGAGTTGTCCCCTCTCGGTGATGCTTATAGACAAGGTGGGCACGTCCCCGTGGGATGCAGAGGACACCAGGGACCGTGACCGGGCTGGGTGGAGGATGTGTGAAGATGGGGGTTTGCTCAGGGTGGCAGAACCCCCACCCCAGGGCACACGGGGACACCTCCACCACCCCACCGGGATGCAACAGGGGGGGACACGTGGCCAAGGAAGACCCTCATGGAGTTGTCCCCTCTCGGTGATGCTTATAGACAAGGTGGGCACGTCCCCGTGGGATGCAGGGGACACGTGGCCAAGGAAGACCCTCATGGAGTTGTCCCCTCTCGGTGATGCTTATAGACAAGGTGGGCACGTCCCCGTGGGATGCAGGGGACACGTGGCCAAGGAAGACCCTCATGGAGTTGTCCCCTCTTGGTGATGGTGATAGACAAGGTGGGCATGTCCCCATGGGATGCAGGGGACACATGGCCAAGGATGACCCTCATGGAGTTGTCCCCTCTCAGTGATGCCAGTAGAGAAGGTGGGCACGTCCCCCTGGGATACAAGATCCCAGCTGATGTCCCACCTCAACCCGCGGTGCCAGTCCATGTGCCACCACCATGGGACAACCACACCAGCAAAAATCTCTCTATATATACTGGTTATTGACAACAGCCCCCACCCCCGGCTCTCAGAGGTTCCCCACCACCCCCAGACGTTGTGACGATGACCATGGGACACCCCCAAGCAGCCCTCGGCCATGTCACCGTCCCCAGATGGTGAGGACCCACGGCAATGCCTTGGCCGAGGTGCTCTGAGGTGGGGACACCCAGGATGGGGAGGGGGGGACACCAGGATGGATCTCAGGGTATTTAGCCCAGGTTCTAGGGGGTTTCATGAGGTCCGACCCACCGTGCCATGGCGAGACCGGGACGGTGCCACCAGCAGCCCCAAGGGACCCCCAAGGGATCCCCAAGGGACCCCCAGGGGACCATGTGCAGCCCCAAGGGACCTCCAAGGGACCCTGCACAGCCCCAAGGGACCCCCAGGGGACCCTGTGCAGCCCCAAGGGACCCCAAGAGACCCCTAAGGGACCCTGTGTAGCCCCAAGGGATCCCCAAGGGACCCTGTGCACCCCCAAGGGAACCCAAGGGACCCCTAAGGGACCCCCAAAAGACCCCCAAGGGATCCGAGGGGGACCCTGCACAGCCCCAAGGGACCCCCAGGGACCCTGCAGCTCCAAGGGACCCCCCCCCAGGGACCCTGCAGCCCCCAGGTCCCTCATTGGTTTAAAGCGAGAAACGGTGCCCAGGAAAAGGGAAAAGAATCATGTTTTCCAAAAGCTCTGTTATTTTATATGCTGGGGAGGGGGGGAGAAGGGGAGGAGAAGGGGGGAGAAGGGGGGGAAAGGGCTGGAGGCAGCAGAGGGCGGTGAATTCCCCTTTTGGAGAGAAAAAAAAAGGAGGGGAAGAAAAGGGGGAAAGAGAAGACGATCTTTTTGTCCGGCTTTGGGGCAGAAACGCTGAGCGGGCGAGAAAATTGTTCCTGTTTGAAAACGGAGCTTTGGGTTTCACCCAGAGACAAACCAACCCCCCCGGGGCAGCAGGAAAACCTTCCCGATTGAGGGGGGGATCTCCTGGGACCCCCCCGGTTTTAACTGCGGGGGTCGGGTTGGGGGAGATGCTCCCACCGGGGGCTGCGCTGGGATGGCTCCCAGTACTGGGAGCTCAGCGGGTGCTCGGCAGCCCCTGAGCCACAGCCACCCTTTGATAACACCCCCAAATATATTTATATTCCTGTATATACATATATTTTCCCCATATATATATTTTTCCCATATATATTTCCCATTATATATATTTTTCCCCGTATATATTTTTCCCATATATTTCCCATTATATATATTACCAGATGGTGAGGACCCACGGCAATGCCTTGGCCGAGGTGCTCTGAGGTGGGGACACCCAGGATGGGGAGGGGGGGACACCAGGATGGATCTCAGGGTATTTAGCCCAGGTTCTAGGGGGTTTCATGAGGTCCGACCCACCGTGCCATGGCGAGACCGGGACGGTGCCACCAGCAGCCCCAAGGGACCCCCAAGGGATCCCCAAGGGACCCCCAGGGGACCATGTGCAGCCCCAAGGGACCTCCAAGGGACCCTGCACAGCCCCAAGGGACCCCCAGGGGACCCTGTGCAGCCCCAAGGGACCCCAAGAGACCCCTAAGGGACCCTGTGTAGCCCCAAGGGATCCCCAAGGGACCCTGTGCACCCCCAAGGGAACCCAAGGGACCCCTAAGGGACCCCCAAAAGACCCCCAAGGGATCCGAGGGGGACCCTGCACAGCCCCAAGGGACCCCCAGGGACCCTGCAGCTCCAAGGGACCCCCCCCCAGGGACCCTGCAGCCCCCAGGTCCCTCATTGGTTTAAAGCGAGAAACGGTGCCCAGGAAAAGGGAAAAGAATCATGTTTTCCAAAAGCTCTGTTATTTTATATGCTGGGGAGGGGGGGAGAAGGGGAGGAGAAGGGGGGAGAAGGGGGGGAAAGGGCTGGAGGCAGCAGAGGGCGGTGAATTCCCCTTTTGGAGAGAAAAAAAAAGGAGGGGAAGAAAAGGGGGAAAGAGAAGACGATCTTTTTGTCCGGCTTTGGGGCAGAAACGCTGAGCGGGCGAGAAAATTGTTCCTGTTTGAAAACGGAGCTTTGGGTTTCACCCAGAGACAAACCAACCCCCCCGGGGCAGCAGGAAAACCTTCCCGATTGAGGGGGGGATCTCCTGGGACCCCCCCGGTTTTAACTGCGGGGGTCGGGTTGGGGGAGATGCTCCCACCGGGGGCTGCGCTGGGATGGCTCCCAGTACTGGGAGCTCAGCGGGTGCTCGGCAGCCCCTGAGCCACAGCCACCCTTTGATAACACCCCCAAATATATTTATATTCCTGTATATACATATATTTTCCCCATATATATATTTTTCCCA